ATTCAAATTAGACCTGATTGCACCAAAATAAGCCATGCGAATACTTACTGAGCGGAACTTTGCGACTAGTTTGGGCACTATTAGCTAATAATATCAACAATATTAGACTCGATGCCTTCATAGTTCAAACGACTATCCAAGGGATAATCTCGAATAGGAAGAGTCGTTGAACCATTGAGGATCTAAGGCGAATTGCGAGGGAACGACAGCGTGTTGTTGAGTGGAACGCAGTCCACCTGCCAAATGGAAAATAGGCTTGTCAGTAACAATTTGCGCAATGTAGACGCGAATCCCCAGAGGAGCATGGGTATTGCGGCAAATTATGAGGATGCACAAGGAGTGGAGCCTAGCATTCGGGGGAATCCTTTTTGAGCGTCTTCTTGCATTAAATCTTCCCTATAATTGATTAGTTCGAGAAAGTGAGCATAAGAAAGATTTTGCTAAAAACTTGGCCGAACAAATATCCCAGAAAGAATATGTCGCCTTTAGTAATTTTTGCCGTCAGAAAAGCAATTAGCCTTGGCTGAGAAAGCTTACTTACTCCAACCAATTTACACTCTCATTAAGGTTTATAGCGTGCAACTAAAACATCAATATAGTCCTAATACGATGAATTTGTCTATGTTTCGAGCAAGCTTACTTTGATGAACGAAACTTCTTGAATGTTTGTTTATATTCAGCCATATTTCAAATACTATTCTTCTATTCCGATACAAGCGGCAATTGCTTGGAACAAATTACTTACGATTCTCCTAAAACGCTTTTGGACGAAGCATCTCTGCCGTAAACTTATCGATCATCCATTAAAACGGGTAATAGAAAATTCTATGAAATTGAAGGAATAATCATTCAAACTAAGTAACTGTCAAGGTAGCACCAATGTAAAGTGTGATATGGTTTATTTTCAAATTTGTAAATGTATAGGAAGACTGCTTGGAAGATATATTGGAAGGCATACTTCATCATAAAATTTATGAGGAAGCGATATATTTCATTCTATGCGCAAATTAGATATATTTTTAGAAAAGTCAATATCTATTCCTTTATCCCTTACTTTTTTTCTTTTAGAGAATGAAGCTGTATTTCTAAAACAGCGCATGTTTCCTTGCCCTTATTGTACCATGCCCAATGGACATGTATTTCTCTGCTTCAACAAGCATCTATAAATGTATCCAAAATTAAGCTCTAGCTATTTGTCTCAGTGATTTAGTTCTTGTGTGGTTTGAAAGCAATTTCATTTCAGACATCGCCTTTTTGCCGAATAAGTAAAGGCAAAGTAGTGATCTATCAAATCTGCCTATTCATTCCATTAATAGTTAATGGATTGCTCATGAGTTAATATTTATCATTGTTTGTGTCTTTTAACAACCAATGCAACTAATCATAACAAAACTTATCGAAACAAAATTATATTTATAGTAATCTTAGCAGTTTTATTTGATCACTCCGAAAGAGCTGCTATCTCAAAATGACGTGTTTCCCAATAAGAAAGATTCTATAGTCTTATTTCGCTTTAAAAAAAAGGAAGTAATGTATTGCGAACAGTATTCAAAATATTGTGTAACCGAAAAATCTTGAGCATGGTCTATCGCAGATATGAAAATAAATTCATTACTTTAATGGTGCATATACTAAAATCGAACTACCACAGATGTACTAGAGGCGTCACTGTTATATTATTGAAATAAATTGACCCATAGCAAAATTAGTGTAAGTGTACGCGCTTACACTAATTTTGCTGTACGCTTAAATAAGTTGAAGAGATCCTATTAGAGTACTGATCACTTTTAACGATTATCATCGAAGTCATTTTGAAGTTAGACGCTTTCAAGCAAGTGTATAATTTCTTATCCTGTGGATTATCAGTCACACTTAGCTGATTTCTGAGATTTAGCTCCCAAGACACAGTTGATGTTTTCCGCTACGGCGATCAAAGAAGAGAAAGAGTTTAGGTAGTGGACTATCGACGAACAGTTGTGGTGCATTAGTGACTGCTTCACTCCATTTAGTTGCGAATTTCAAAATCGAGCTACAATACCTCTTAGAATCATGAAATAGTTAATTCTTGAGTCGCGCTGAGTGCTTGTTGATCAGCAGATCAGCAGCGAGACAGAAAATTTTGCAAGTGACTAATTTTACAAAACCCTGGAACAACTGCGAAAAGCTTATTTGAAGAGCCCATATGATGGGAGCTATTTGCTACTGATGGAAAATACTAAAATATGTTAT